GGGGGGGGGGGAAATCAACATCCACACCCACTAATTTAACATAATTGTTTTAATTTTTGTGTATTCCTACCTAATCCCTATCCACATGCAAACACACATTTTGTGAGTTATCAACATGGTACATAAGATTTTTTTAGATTTTCTCCACATAAATTATTTCCAAAAATGTCTATAAGCTTCATAATAATTTTATGGTTCCATAAAAATGTAAATTCATAATGTATTAAAACAATTTCTTTCTGTTGACCATTCAAATCAGACTGGCTCTCGTTTTTGTTATGTAATTATGTAGCTTTTTTCCTTCTATTAGATGTATCCTGAAGATCCCTAAAGTAGGATTAGTGAACTAAAAAGTATGAACTTCAATGGTTATTGCTATACACAGTAATGCCTTCCAAGGGGTCTTAATCAATTCACCTGTAGTCACAACTTGAACTTTGAACAAAACACTAGCTGAGCACTCTGTACATTCTATACCTTATTTCTCAGAACTCTATGCAGCGGGTAGTTACTATTTCTGTTTTATGGCTAAAGAAAATGAAGTTAAGGGAGGCAACAGAGAGCATGTATATTTTAAGGTCTTATTAAAATATATAATTTACACTGCCAAATTCTTATTTAAAAAATATATACATATACAAATATATTTATTTAAATACAGGAGGCTGTTCATGTCATACAGCCATCCATTCATCTAGATCAGCATTTCCTGAGCTATGTTCGATGACATAATTGGCTCACTATTTTGGCCAAGAAACTGTTATCTTTTAACTATACTGTGGTGTTATACCTTTAGCTTACACAGAGGAATACTTAAAAGTATCTATATAAAACTCACCATTACATTTATTGTTGAAATGGTGATGAGAACTTTATTGACTATATCTCTTACAATACCAAATCCAAAGCCCTCAGGGAGAAATACTTCTCAAACAGCAGGGCCAGAAACACTTTGCTTTTCCTAAGCCACCAGTGTACTTTTTATCTAATGAACAGTGGAAAATTTTAACAGATAACATTTATTTACATTAGCTGCTAGGAAGCTCAGAGCAATATCTGAAATCCTCTTTGGTAACTATTAAGATATTCAAGGCATGCATTTCTCTAAACTAATTTTAGCTCTGCTCTCAGACTATATTAAATTCCCCATACCCTGATTTATTTCAACTTTGAAGTAAACTCTCAGGATCACAGTCCAATGCCAGTTTCCATATTTATATGGAAATCTGATTTCACACAATGAAAATATTTTTTTGGTACTACTATAACCTGAATCAAAGCCTCATAAAAATAAGCTTATGCTAGGCTCCTAATAGGCAAACTGCTTAAAAGCCTTAGTTTAGTTTAACTAGTTTAGTATCTCACATTAAGAAAGTAATTTAAAATTACTCAAAACTTACCAATCATAATTCTTATTTTTATTCAGAGTCTAAAGCAATTCTAATAAAACTCTGGAAACTGGCTCAACAAGCAGACGCATTTAGTTCAGGGTTAGGGCCTATTTCATGTTTTGATCAATATAATCTAACCTGTGACTTAATAAGTTTATTAATAGCTGATCAAAGTAATCTGTCTTCCTTCTAAATAAATAGGTCACATATATATTTTAAAAACTATATTTTACATTAAAAAAATGTAAAGCACATTTCAGTACATATTTGGTTTTTACAAAATTACTCTCAGAGCATTGCCACTCATTTTACAAAAATGAGACAACTAGGAAGGCATACTAAAACTAATAAAGTTCAAGTGACTTTCTCAAGTAGAATGTGCTGATAAAACTAGAAGTAGAAAAGAGACCTTTCTTTCCAGACTTCTTCTGGAATGAAGGTAGGACATGGACTAGCATGAAATGTTTTTAATCTTCACTAGCAACATCCCAAAAGATTAAGATTGGACAGAAACAAACAACTTTGTGTCAGACAACACATGGATTTTGACTTTACTGAATGTAGGGAACTGATAACAAAAGATTTTATCTCCTCCAGCATAAATACCCTTAGGCAAAAATGTCTGATCCAACTTAGTTCAATGTAATAGATGATTTAATGAAAATAAAGTCAGCTTCTGACATTTGCTTTTTTTAAGAAAAGAGGGGATACCAAATTCTGAGCCTGATTATGCTACCTAGAATATTTTTAACTTCATTTTAAACAGCATCCAGACAGTCTCTGGAAGACCTTCAATTCACTCAAGGGTTGGGTATTTTCAGAATATCTGTAATGACAGTGATTTGTACTAAATCAGGCCACATCACTGATTGGCTAAAGGACCAGCAATACACTAAGCTATACTCTGGGAGACCATAAGGGCTTTTGGGGTTTTTTTTGACAGACAAGATCTAGTCTCATTCTGATCAAAATCTTAGTTATATGTATCTGCATTGTAGTTTTAGTCCTGTTGAATGATTAAACTCACCAATCTATATTTTATACTTCTTAAAAATTTGCCTCTCCGTATACTAATATAATTTACATTCAGGGTATTGGAACTAAAGTGAATTATCTTCAATAACATCACATTGCTTTCTGCTATTGGAATCTCACTTGATATATATTAATCAAGAAATTAATGGAAAGTATGACTTTTAAAATAACAAAAAAAATTTAACATCATAATAAGATATTTATACATTATATAAAAAGTTATTTATGGAGTCCTTTTGTGCTTTTGGAAAATAAAGCACTATTTTATTCATACTTATTCATTTGGCTATGCTGTTACTGATACTTGGGAAGGTATTAAATATTCCAAAAGAAATAAAATGGAGGTAATCATGTCTTTTAAAAAAAAAATATATATATATATATATATATATATATTTATAGACAAGACTTATGTGTTCTCACCTGAGGCTGCTGTGGAATTTGTTGGGGTTGAAGCAGCTGCTTGAATCCGAGCATGAGGAGGAATAAGGATGGTAGCTAGAGGTGGATTACTTGACAGTTCTGGAGAAAAGGTAAGAAGACATAGGTTAGAGCTCATTTTTAACTGTATGTGAAACTACTTTATTGGTAACAATAAATATAAGATACTACAATAAAACACTGGTTTAACAGAAAAAAGAAGAAAAAGAAAAAAGGTGTGACAAACCTACATCTGAAACTAAATCAATGAGCTACAGAGAAAGCACAAAGAAATGTTGTGATACACAACCAAGCCAAGGCACCATCTGCTAAAATTAAAATATGTCTGAGAACTCAAGCTATCTGGGAGACAGATACTGGGAAAAAGTTTGAGAATAAGCATATTAATAAGATCTATTTCCATCTTTCAAAAACTTAAATATACTAGGTTTTCTCAAACTACTCTGACATTTGACTACAGGAATTGAGAGTGATGATGCCAGAGAAAAAAGAACATGACTATAGTTTGTGTGTCTGCACACACAACTGCACGCACAGAACAAGCTACCAGATTGTTTATAAGCCAAGGGCAGATAAGATCTAGTTATCCAAATGCTAGTGGAAACAGGATTTAACAAGCATTTCTTTAAAGCCTCACTGCTTTTACTAAAAATATCTTTATTCAATTATATTTTGCTTTGAACTCAGTAAGACTGTTGTTTTTTAAAAGTTTGAAATAGGCTTTTTACCTGCTTATGGAAAGTTTTCGTGTGTCTACTGTATATAGACTGCTTTCTTTAAAGAATCAAGTTGTGTATATGAGCCTTAAGAAGTAATTTAAAGATGATATTGGATCTAACAATGTAGACAGATAGCAAGGCGTGGTGGGGAGCTTGTACATATAAGCACCCGGTGTTAGCTTTAGGTAATGTGACTGTTCTCCCAGCATTTAACCAGTGAGTGTTCATTTTCACTTTAATAAATGTTGCAATTTAAAGGAATAATTACAGGACAATACTAGGTACAGAAGGACACTATACCCTGAGCTACCGCATACACTTGGACAATTCACAGATATAGTGTGACATTTTAAAAGTTAAGAAATAGGTTTTTTTTAATTAAAATAAAATTCACATAAAATTAATCATTTTAAAGTGTATAATTTAGTTGCATTTAGTACATTCACAATCTTGTACAACCACCTAGTTTTAAAGCATTTTCATCACCCCAAAGGAAACCTCTAAGTAGTCCCCATTTGTCACTCCCTCCACACAGTAATAAGGGAAATAATGTTTTAATGCAGCAGTTTAAAAATATCTTCTGGTGCAAAGCCCGTGTTAATATTGACTTTCTCAACTTGGTACCTAAGTATCTAAATTTTGCACTAAATTAGATAGAAAATGATACCTGATTCAACAAGGAACAACAAGCTTATGCCAAGATTTATAAAAATAAATGGGTGGAAAAGCTTAAAACTGAGAGAAAATTATCCTCCCCCCCCC